CCCCTCCCCCGTCCCTCCCCCTCTCCCCCCCACCCGCGGGCTCCAGGCCTGGCTGGGCTCCAGCCGGGCGCGGGCTGGCGGCGGCGCGCGGGGCGGGCCTGGCGGGCGGCTCAGGAAGTGCTCCGCGCCCCCTCCCCTGGCCACGCCGCGCGCTCCTCCTTCCTGCGCGGGCGGCGGGCGGCGGGCGGCGGGCGGCGGGACAGCGGCGGCAAGGCCGGGGCGCAGGTACTGGGCGGCCGGGCGCGGGGCTGTGGCGGCGGCGCGTGTCACGAGGGCGCGCCCGCCTGGGCTGCTCGAGCTGCGTGTGCACGGGCGTGTGCCCGTCCACGTATGTGAAGCGGGTGTGCGCGTCCGGGTGATGATGGGTGCCTTTGTGTGACCGTCGGTGCCCCGGGGGTGAGGCTCTGAGGCCACCTGGGGGTGCTGTGTGTTTGTGAGTGTGAATCAGTGTGCACGGTCACGTGTCTGCTCTGTGTGTGTAAGAGTGAGTGTGTGCCTGGGTTTGTGTATGTGTGTAAGCATCTGTTTCTCAAGTGTGACAAGTGTGTTCGTGGGAGTGTGTGTCTGGGTTTATGTGTATGTCCGGGAACGCACGTTTCTCTTGAGTGTGACAAGTGTGTAAATGGGAGTGTGTGTCTGGAGGGGTCTAGGTCTCTGGCCTGGTGTGGCGATGAGCGTGTCAGCTTGTGGGCCGTGTGCCTATGTTTGTCTGTGGGCTGTGTGTGTGTAGGCCTCAGATGTGACTGTGCGTGTGTCCATTGTGAGCAAGTGTGTAGGGCTCAGCACACATAGGTCAGAAGAGTGTGCAGTGTGTCTGTCACCGGGTGTGTGTGTGCTGAGTGTGTCGGCGCATGTGCCTGAGGCTGAGGGGTCCCTTGTGGGTCTGCAGCACCCCGAGCCTGCTGGTTGTGCAGGTGTGGTGCCCTGGATGTGTGTGTGTGTGTGTCTGTGCGTGTGTTTGGGTGTGGGAGCGCCGCCACCCACTTCTCCTGCGCTGGTCACCGAGGTCACAGTGTCTGTCCCGGTACCAGCAGTGGCTGGGGACCTATAATTAGCGGCTGGGTGTTGGGGACCGCTGCCGCCGCCCCCGGGCCTTTGTCTGTACCGCCAGATGTGCAGCACCTCCTCCAAGGAGGCAGAGACCCACGGGCCTGGCCACTCACAACCTTGGCCTCCACGGGGAGGCTGGGCAGCCAGGTGCCCCAGCCTGGCCTGGGAGGTCGGGGTGTGGAGCTGCCTGTCCCTGCGGGGTCCCGGGCTGGGGCGGAGCCCGAGTTTCTGGGCTGTTGGGGAGAGACATTTCCTCCTCCAGCGCCTCTTCCCCCAGGCTGGTGGCCTCCCTCCTGCCTCCTGGAGGCAGCTGTGGAGAGATGGCTGGGCCCCGGTCCACAGACACACACACACACACACACACACACACACACACACACACACACACTGACACGGTCACTTACACACCCACTGCACATACACGGTCCTGCCCGCCACGGAGGGGTTTCTTCCACATCTGTCACCTGCCAGGCTTCCCGATGGGAATCTCCTGCCTGGGCCCCTGGGTCCTCTTCTGCCCCAGGCCCACTGACCTTTCATGCCCCCTCCCTGCCCGCAGTGCCCTCGCTCTGTCACACTTCCCAGCCACCCCTGCCACACCCCTGGCCGACACCTGCGCGCCCCGGCACACCCTGAGCCTCCGCTGCTGTCCCCGGACACCGGACTGCTCAGAGCTGAAGGCCAGCCTGCTCCCTCTGTCTTGTCCCCTTCCCGGCTGTGTGGAAGAGACCACTGAGGCCCAGGGGGCCCTGTGCCGTGAGCAGCCAGGAGAAGGACCCATGCACACACGCGTTCAACACCACACCACCAACAGAAGCCCCCAAAAGGTATTTTAGAGAACTACCAGTTGGCGGACATTAGCCTCACTGAGCAGAACAGCGGGGTCTCAGAGTATCTGTGAGTGACTCCCTGTCGCTGGGGGCACCCAGGCAGAGGCCGGGGAGGTGGACATCCCCGGCAGCTGCAGCGGCGTCTTGGAGAAAGCCTGGCTTCTTTCCCTCCCGGCCCGACTGCCCTGTTTGAGGATCAACTCTCAGACTTGGCCGGACTGCAAAGAAAACAAGACAGTGTGTGATTAAGGGGGATTTTGCAAGCAGGAGGAGGGCGGGAGGGGGCTTGGCACGGGCTGGTGGCCCGAAGTGGTGTCTGTGGCAGGCTGGCCTGGGGCAGATGCCCGAGAAACTGAGACCTGCCCAGCAGGCCTGGGGCCTCCGGGAGGAAGAATCCGAGAGCAGAAACGGGATAAGGAGCTGGGCTGGAAATGTGGGTGGAGGAGAGGGCCGGGAAACGGGGTTTGCAGCCCAGCTGGAGGGGAGCAGGGTGCTACCGCTGCAGAGGATCCCAGGCAGGGCCCAGGCGGTGGGGTGGGTAACCAAGTCGGAGTTTGGGGCCTTCACCCTGTGCAGCCTCTCCTGTCCTCTCCTCCAGTTGGCTTCTCCATCCTTCAAAACTCTGCTTCCCGCAGCCCTGTTGGCCATTGCTTCCTTAGAAAATGTTCCCGTCCAGCTACTCTCCTGCCTCTTTATCTGCCTTCTGGGGCCCCCAGGAGGGGCAGGGCCACACCTGTATCCCGAGCAGCAGCTGTCCCTGTCCCTGTGCCTGTCCTGCCCCCAGCCCAGCCAAGTCGTGGCCCTGTGAATGAATCTGGGTCCCACACTGCCTGGCCGTGTAATTCCAGGCGCCTGTGCTGCCCCTGCTCGGTAAAAGGAGAGAGAAGGACTGAAGCAGCGATGTGAGAGGTCTTGGGCCATGCTGGCACTTAGCAGATGCCCGGTCCCTGCCTGTCCTCTCTGGGTGTAGGATAAGGGGACAGAGAGCCTGTGGGATCTGCGGAGGAGGCAACTGCTTGGCCCCAAGGGCTGGGCCAAAGGGGCTGCAGGTCCCCCAGTAGAGAGGGGCCTTGGCATGGCTGTGCTGGGCGGCAGGACGAGGGCTCTTCCCTAATCAGGGTCTCTTCCTCCAGGAGCCCGTGATGCTGCCCAGGCTGTGAGCAGAGGAGGCAGCACTGTGGGGGCTGCCAGCAGCCGGGGCTGGGGAGAGACATGTGGGCACGTAGCCCCTATGGCTTCCGCCTGCCAGCTCCTCCGCTGGGCCCTCGCCCTGGGGCTGGGCCTCACCTTCAAGGTCACACATGCCTTCCGGTCTCAAGGTAGGAGCCAGGGGTCCAAGGATGGCGTCGGGGAGGGAGCAGGAATTGAGGAGGCCAGTTGGGTGCCAAAGGAAAGAGTCACCAGTGGGCCAGTATGGGGGGCACGGGGGGCAGGGCTGGGTGGGACCTCAAGGCATAGGTTGGCATCACCAGGACACAGGGCTCAGGCAGAGCCAGCGCCGCCCCAGGCCTTGCTTCTCACCCGCAGATGAGTTCCTGTCCAGTCTGGAGAGCTATGAGATCGCCTTCCCCACCCGCGTGGACCACAACGGGGCCCTGCTGGCCTTCTCGCCTCCCACCCTCCGGAGGCAGCGCCGGGGCACGCCCACCACGGCCGAGTCCCGCCTCTTTTACAAAGTGGCTGCGCCCAGCACCCACTTCCTGTTGAACCTGACCCGCAGCCCCCGGCTCCTGGCCGGCCACGTCTCCGTGGAGTACTGGACACGTGAGGGCCTGGCCTGGCAGAGGGCCGCCCGGGCCCATTGCCTCTACGCTGGGCACCTGCGGGGCCAGGCCGGCAGCTCCCACGTGGCCATCAGCACCTGCGGCGGCCTGGTGAGCTGAGGATTCTGGGAAGGGGGGACAGCCCGCCCCCTGGGGCGTCAGCGAAGGAACTGTAGTGGGCGGGACCTTTTTAGAGTGTTGTGAGCTGATCAGTGCTTTGGGGATGCAGCTAAAGCAGCCCTTAGAGGAAAAGGTGTCGCCTTAAGTGAGATTGAAAATAAATACGCTGAGCATCCATCTCAACAAATAAGAAAAAAGATAAAGAAGGACGAACTCGAGCCGTTTGTAGGAAAATAGATGCGCTTTGAGACCCTAAGTAAATCAGACTCACAGGCTTGAATATCACATGGTCTCTCCTATATGAGAAACCCAGAGTAGAATTTTTTTTTTTTTTTTTTGGTACCGGGGATCAAACTCAGGACCTTGCACTTGCAAGGCAGGCACGGCGCCACTGAGCTAAATCCCTGGCCCCCAGAGCAGAGATAATGTAAAGGCCAAAATTAAAGACAGATAATAGGAAACAGGGAGATAGATATTTAGTAAATAGAAAAGGGAGCAGGGCAGGGGGGTTAAGTTAAAAAGGACTAAAATGCAATATATACCTGTACCGACTCCCCGTGATGAATATATTCATTATTTATCACAAATATATACTAATAAAAAGAAAGTTAGGACAGGAGCTACGTGTAGTGGTGTGCACCTATAATCCCAGCACTCCGGGAGGCCGAGGCAGGAGGAGCTCAGGTTCCAGCCCAACCTGGGCAACTTAGTGATTCACCAAGATCCTGTGTCAAAGTAAAAACTGAGAAACGCCAGCGGATGGAGCTCAGTACAAAGGCCTTGGGCTCATCCCTACTCCAACAGAAAGGGGAAGGGGAAAAGAAAGGAAGGAGGGAGGGAGGGAAATTAGAAAAGGAATAGCAAAGTAGACTCAGCCTGGTACAAGAAATTATAAAGACAGAGAGGGGTTTCTCCGGGTCCGAGGAGCCAGACTCTGACCCCGCTTTCTGTCCCCAGCACGGCCTGATTGTGGCCGACCAGGAAGAGTACTTGATCGAGCCCCTGCACGGTGGGCCCAAGGGCCCCCGCAGCCCAGAGGAGGGCGGCCCGCATGTGGTCTACAAGCGCTCCTCTCTGCGCCACCCCCACCTGGACACGGCCTGCGGGGTGCGAGGTACCCGTCTGCAGGCGTGGGCTGGGGGGGAGGGCCCAACACCCACCCCTGGGGCAGGGAAATGTAACGCTGTGGGGAAGAGCCACGGTTAGGCAGGTGGGGAGTGGTGTCCGTCTATGCGTGGTGGGGCACAGGGACGCGAACAGGCAGGCAGTGTGGCCGTGAGGAGGTGGATTGATCCATCGCTGCCAGCGTCAGCTGGCCCAGCCCTGAGTCCCATAGCCAGACCTTCGTACAGGGTAAAACCGTTGCATCCCTGGGATTATTGTCCCGTCGCACAGCTGAGCAGTAGAGGAGCCCCAAACGTTGTGCAGTCAGGAGGGTCAGGTGGAGGACAATCGGAGCAAGAGGCAGTGGGGACTGGCAGACTAGGAAACCGATATAACGACCGAACATTTACCAGTGTAATCAGCTATGCATTTAGAAAACAGATTGGTTTTTGGTGGGACAGACATTGAAGTAGTCTTAACATACATCCGGGCATGGTGGCACACACACCTGTCATGCCAGCACTCAGGAGGCTGAGGCAGGAGGATCGCTTTGAGCTCGAGGTGAGCCTGGGCTACATAGTTCAAGGCCAGCCTGAACTGCATTTCTCAAAAGAAAAAAGAAAAATAGTTGACAGGATGACAGTCTGGCTGTGGGGCAGACAGTTCTGTGGTTCTGCAGCCAGATAGCTGGACAGGAATTTAACTGCGAAGTGGCCGGTTTGTAAACCAGCTAGTTGTACGAGCTCACAGTCCAGACAGTGAGAGAGGCTCCTCACACCCGTACACTTAGGCAGCGCGATTGTCGAGTTTTGTACACTCACCCCAGCCATAACAGAACACTGGGCAGCTGTTCACCCACCAGCTCAGTAGTGGGGCAGTCAGGAATTGGGGTTTTCTTCAGCCCGAGTTTAAGAATGGGACAGACAGACCTGTGTTGACCCAAGCATTTAAGTAATGGGACGTTACAGAAGCAGGAATAATATTACTGGATGCATCGTTGCAAAGGAGGTGGCTCACATGCTGGACTGGCAGATAGACCATGGAGTAACTGGACAGTAAGATCAGGCAGCCAGCTGAGCACGCTGTCATCTTCGTACTCCAGAAGGCTGAGGCAGGAGGATTGCAAGTTGGACCCCAGCCTGGGCAACAGAGCAACTTAGCGAGACTGTATCTCCAAGTAAAACAGGCGAGGGACGTAGCTCAGTGAGAAGGCCCAGAGTTCAATCTCCAAAGGAAAAAAAAAAAAATCAGACAGCAGAATGAGCAGAAACGGTCTGTCCAGACTGTGGGCGGAGGGAGAGCCAGGGGGTTGGGGGTTTACAAGTGGACAGTGGGGTCATAACTGCTCTCCCGGGTCCCCCAGACGAGAAGCCCTGGAAGGGCCGGCCGTGGTGGCTGCGCACCCTGAAGCCGCCGCCCGCCAGGCCACTGGGGAATGAGTCGGAGAGGAGCCAGCTGGGCCTGAAGCGCTCCGTCAGCCGAGAGCGCTACGTGGAGACCCTGGTGGTGGCAGACAAGATGATGGTGGCCTACCACGGGCGCCGAGACGTAGAACAGTACGTGCTGGCCATCATGAACATTGTAAGTGCCTCCCCTTCCTGCGGGGAGCCCTGGGGACCCACAGAAGTGGGCCGGGACGGACGTTACCATCCCACCCCTGATCCCTGACCGGGGGCCAGGGCAGGGTAGTGGGAAGGCAAAACACAAGAGCCGCACATGGCCCTGAGACGGCGCAGGCAGGGCTTCAATCCCAGCTCTGCCCTCTTTCACCGCGTCATCCTTCTGCCTCAGCTTGCCCAGCTGTAAGGTGGAAATAGCTATAGAACCCACTTCCTAAGGCAAAGGTACATCCAGTTCATCGGCAGTGCACTTAGTGCGTGGCACAGGATGGTACCCATACGTCTTTGCTTTCGATAAAAACAGACATGTACCGGTGATGGCAGTTCACACCTGTCGTTCCAGCACTCCGGGAGGCTGAGGCAGGAGGATTGGAAGTTAGAACCCAGCCTGGGTGATGTAGTAACTAACTTAGCTGAGACCTTGCGGCCAGAATCGTGGAAGGAATGAAGTTTATGAACCGAAGTACACGGCACAGGCTGTGTGAACCATTTACTTGGTGTTGTTTAGGGGACGGTGTCGAGAAAAGCAGTCCAGACACACACAGCACAGGTGTGACTCTAGCTAATATTTTTCCATCCGAGGTTGGTTGAATTCCCAGATATGGAAGGCCAACTTCCATACGCTAGATCTCAGTCAAGACTGGGCCTCTCTGAGCCTCAGCCTGATCTTAGTAAAATGGAGTTATAAAGGTCTCTCCTCCCAGGAACAGTGGCCCAAATCTGTCATCCCAGCGTCCTGGGAGGCTGGGCAGGAGGATCTAAAGTTTAAGCCTAGCCTGGACAACGTAGCAACTTAGTGAGACCTTGTCTCAAAAGAAAAAAAATAAAAATGGCTGAGGATGGAGCTCAGTGTGAAGGTCCTGAGTTTAATCCCAAAATCAAACAAACAAACAAAAATAATGGCAGAGAGTAAGGGTGGGTGGGGAAAGCCAGGAGAACACTGATTGGCACATAGTAGAGATTGATAAATGGGGATCAGCCCAAGATGCTGCTGGAACATCAACCCTCATATACCTGCTCTGCCCCCACCCTGCCTCCCCCTGGGGCTCTGAGAGTTTTGTAAAACCTGCCAGCATTCGGGGAGTTTCCAGACTGGACAAGGACAGCCCAGGGCTCTGACACAGCCTCGTCTCCGTGGTCTGTGCCCATTTATCCCCTGGGCCACTTCCTGTCCCCCACCACCACCGCTGTCTTCAGTCTTCAGCCCCCACAGCTCCACCTTCCAGTGTGGACACTTAATTGGTACCCTGAGCCGGCCGTGGAGCAGGGCCAGATGGGTGAGGGCACTGAGGGCAGCCAGGGCGTGAGCAGGGGCTGGAGGATGGGTAGACGAATCACTGGGTCAGGGCAGTGAGGGAGTAAGGTCCAGTAAGCAGCCCATGTCGGAGTATGGCCTGTGGCACCAGCAGCGCTGTCTCTGCGTGTCAGTTTTCTCATCTGTAAAACAAATTAAAACAGGAAGCTGGGTATGGTGGTGCACACCTGTCATCCCAGCACTCTGGGCAGCTGAAGCAGGAGGATCTCAAGTTCTAACCCAGGCTGGGCAACTTTGTGACTTAGTGAGACCCTGTCTCAAAATACAAAAGGGCTGAGGATGTAGCTCAGTGCAGAGGCCCTGGGTTCAGTCCCCAGTACCATAGAAAATAGTCAGTCAGTGAAATTAAATAGTGTCTGCCTGTGAAGTGATGTCTGTGGCAAGCCTTGCCTAAGGCCCAGTGTGCAGTACGTGCTTAATTAAAGCAAGCGCTGTCATCGTGTTCACTTCTGTCTGCCGTTCTGGGCTCCTCTTAAGACTCGGTCTCTCTTGTTTCTTGGAGGTCAGGTTGCCAAACTTTTCCAGGACTCAAGTCTGGGAAACATCGTTAACATCCTGGTGACCCGGCTCATCCTGCTCACGGAGGACCAGGTGCGGGGGGGAGAGGGAGGGGACATCCCCTGCCTGCCGTCTTGGGGTGCCAGGCACCCCACACCTCACCCTGTCCGTCCTCAGCCCACCCTGGAGATCACTCACCATGCGGGCAAGTCCCTGGACAGCTTCTGTAAGTGGCAGAAATCCATCGTGAACCACAGCGGGCACGGGAACGCCATTCCGGAGAACGGCGTGGCCAACCACGACACGGCAGTGCTCATTACACGGTGCGGGCTCGCCGGGGCCTGGCAGAGGGACGGGGACCAGCAGGGTCCGAGTTGGTGGCTCCCGTCTGCCGGGGGAAGGGAAAGACTGCTGCGCCTCAGGCTGTGGGAGAGGGGCGCTCTTCCTTCACTGTCCCATTCAGTCACTCGAGTGCCCCTTCGCGTCCCCAAGGCCAGCTGATTGGCCCCAACTCGGGCACAGCAAGAGGCTTCGGGTGAGAAGCAGGTGATACCACCCAGGCAGGACTCGAACTCGGAGCCAGGCGTGGTGGCATCACAGGGCTGGGGAGGCAGCTGATCACCACCCCCTCTTTCCACAGCTATGATATTTGCATCTATAAGAACAAGCCCTGCGGCACTCTAGGTACTGGTGTTCCACAGGTCCGGGGGTGGCCCTGCCCCTGGGGTGAGACCTGGAGGGGTGGAAGGGACCAGCCGGCCTAGCCCCCAGGCCCCCGCCTTGTGCCGTTTCCCAGGCCTGGCCCCTGTGGGCGGGATGTGTGAGCGCGAGAGAAGCTGCAGCATCAACGAAGACATCGGCCTGGCCACGGCCTTCACCATCGCCCATGAGATCGGGCACACGTGAGGCCGGAGGACGCGCAGGGGGCAGACTGGAGGAGCCGGGCTGGCCCCTCAGTGCCCAGCAGAGCCGACACCGCTCTCCCCAGGTTCGGCATGAACCACGACGGCGTGGGGAACAGCTGTGGGGCCCGCGGCCAGGACCCAGCCAAGCTGATGGCCGCCCACATCACCATGAAAACCAACCCATTTGTGTGGTCGTCCTGCAGCCGCGACTACATCACCAGCTTCCTGGAGTGAGCTCGGGTCACGGGCAGGCGGGGGAACTCTGGAAATCGGCACTGCCCCCTGCACCCCCAGCCCGCTGGGCGTCCCCCTGAGCTCCCGGCCTGCAGCCCCCTGGTGTGACAGTTGTTTTTTTTCTCTCCGAAGCTCGGGCCTGGGGCTCTGCCTGAACAACCGGCCCCCGAGGCAGGACTTCGTGTACCCAACGGTGGCGCCTGGCCAGGCCTACGACGCAGATGAGCAGTGTCGCTTCCAACATGGAGTCAAATCGCGTCAGTGTAAATACGGGGTAGAGAGAGCCTTCCTGCTTTCCTTTCTGGGAGGGGACGGGACCACCTGGGATGGGGACTCTGTGGAGGGCGCCCAGGGAAGTGGGGGTGGGGGTCCCCATGGGGCGCTGGGAGGACAGAAGTGTGTGGGGCGTGCAGATGTCCCACGCATGCCAAGGGAGACTAGGGACAACAGGGAAGCACCCTGGTCCTCCAGACCCCTGATTTGAGCCTTGAGCTGGGGGGCACGTTCCTTTCAGCACTCGAGGCCACCTGCAGGCCTCAGGAAGACTAGAGTGCCCAGACCTCCAACTGGGTGGTTCCTAACTAAGCATCCAGACTTGGGGGAAATACTTTCCCTGCGGATGGGCTGTCTATGTCACTTGGCAAAGAAACAGACAGAAGCTTCCAGTAGAGACTACCCATCTTCATTCCCCACGGCCCCACCAGCTGGTTCCTACGGCCTCCGGGCCCCATCCTGGGCTGGACAGGCTCTGAACCTCCTGATACTCCACACTCCATCCTGAGCTTCAGACCCCCAGAGCTCCACCTATGCATCAAGGAGTGGGAATCCCACTGCCGGCTCCTCACAGGAAGCTGAAGACCTGTTGCCCTGCTTGAGCCACCAGAGCTCAGCCAGGTCGGCCCCTCCTCTGCTCACCCCCTAGCTCCCCTCAGCCTAGCTCTGGCCCTCCAGGCCCTCCAGACAAAGCATTGGTTTGCATAGCCGCAACCAACCTAATACCAAGCTGTCAGGGCCCCTTCGCCTCATCCCACTGCAAGACAAGGAACAAATCCTGGACCCCTGTGTATGTAACTAACAGGCCACACACACCCTAACCTGGCAGGTAAGCACAGCACCCTCAGATGAATTCCTCAGGAATTCTGAGGCTGCCCCCGAACACCACCTGTGTTCTCATACGCTCACATGACCATGGCTGATAAATACTGAGCGCTCATTATGTGCTAAGCACCTGATACAAATCACCTCATTTACACCCCTGCCAGGCCCTTATCCCTACTCACAAACAGAGACTGGGGCTAGAGAAGAGGACTGCCCTGAGACCACATTCAAGACCGTCCAGAACTGGGATTTGAACCCAGGTCACTGACTCCAAATTTTACACAGGGTGGGGAGGGACTGTCAGAAAGCAGCCTTGGGCTGACACTGGCTGTATGTTGAGGGGAGGCTGCTTTTCATTTTTGAGAGAACAGCTCCCTGGCCATCCTGGCAAAGAGAAGCATTATTGCCAGCATGTAAACGTGTTATTGGATATAAAGAGCTCAGCCCGGGACCTGGTCCAGGGATGGCTGTGTCCATTGTTACCCAGTTGATGCAAGGTCTTTTGCCTCTACCTTGTCACAAGGCAGGCTTTAGGCTGCCCATCTTGCAGATGGGGAAACAGCCCCTTCAGTGGCAGAGTTGTGGTCTCCCATGGTGGCCTGGTGCATTTGGAGTTTCTTTAAGGGTGTCAGAAGTGGGATCGGGACTGGTCTTAGATGGTTTTAGAAGTGGCCAAGTGAAGCCAAAAACCCCAGTTGAGCATTTAACCAGCAGTGCACTCTATGCAGGAGCAGAAGGCAGGGGCTTTCGGGAAGTTTGAGGGGTCGCTTCAGAGCACGACTCACCTGATTTCTCTTGATTGTGCCAGCCCTGGAAGCCTGCTTCCTGAAGCCATTGGCCGGTCCAGTCCCAGTCTGCAAAGCTGGGAAGATTCAGTTCCCAGAGGGTCACAGAAGGGTCTGTGTCTCTCAGAAGGAGCGCCAGGAGGCTGGGGCAGATGTAGCCGAGGGTGTGAGACCAGGCCTGAACTTAGTGGGGCTTCTCAGGGATGTTAAGCTGGACCAAAGGGTTGGAATGACTCTTGGCCAGGTGCAGCTCCCTGCCTCGGACTGGCTCTGCTTCGAGGGCCTGGGCCAGCTCAAGCGGGATTCAGACAAGAAGGTTCTGGTGGGTTTCTACTAGAGGAGGGACAAGGATGCTCCAGAGAGATGCATCCTGGAGCTGTTCTCCCCTGCACAATTTCAAGGCAAGGCATTAGAGACTTCTCCAGTTTAGGTGGGGAAACAACCACCAATTTTTTTATTTTTTATTTTTGACAACCACCAATTTGGAGAAAAAGAAAAAAGTTAAAATGAAATTCAATCCAAGTCACCTTCCAGCCCTGATTTCTCAGAGCCACGCTGTTCTCTCCCGGGCTCTTTTGGCAGGACCCAAAAAAGAAGTGAGACTCCTGATCCCTTCCCCAGCGGACCTCGGGTTTCCTTCTCAAAACATGGAAGGCACCAGGGTCTGTACTGCAGGGTCAGTGACTCAATATCTGGGTAGCTTAGGGACTTAGACCCTGACTCAAAAAATAAAAAGGGCTAGGGATGCTGCTCAGTGCAAAGGCTCCGTGTCTCGCACACACACAAGATCCGCATTAGAAGCCAGGCTGCCCCTTTGGAGCAGGAGCAGTGTGGCCTCCAGCCGAGAACTTTCTTGCCGGAACCTTGGTGTTCTTACAAGAGAGTAGGGAAGAGAGGGCCGGAAGTGGCTCACGGTGCACATATTGCCAAAGAGCCCCTCCCAGGCCGTGCCTCCAAAGGGGGACTCACGGGACCCAAGAAGGTGCTGGTACCAGCTCGGGGCTCAGTGAGCGGGACACCTGGGTCCCCCCAAGCCGGGCGGGCTGCCCAGGGGAGGCGGGAGGAGCCTGAGCGGCGCCTGGGCCCGCAGGAGGTCTGCAGCGAGCTCTGGTGCCTGAGCAAGAGCAACCGGTGCATCACCAACAGCATCCCGGCCGCAGAGGGTACGCTGTGCCAGACGCACACCATCGACAAGGGGGTGAGAGGCCGCGCCCCGCCCTGGGCCATGGCCACGCTCCTCGCGTACTCGTGCTGGCTCCGCCCCCGCTCCTGGGCCGCACACCGCATGTTCATTCCCTGGGGCCGCATCCCGGAGGGAGGGGCAGGGCCACTGAGCTCCCCACACTGCGGAGCCGGACTCGCCCGTCTCCCGACTCTCTTCCCACAGTGGTGCTACAAGCGGGTTTGTGTCCCCTTCGGCTCGCGGCCGGAAGGCGTGGACGGCTCCTGGGGCCCGTGGACCCCATGGGGCGACTGCAGCAGGACGTGCGGCGGCGGCGTGTCCTCCTCCAGTCGCCACTGCGACAGCCCCAGGTCAGTCCTCAGACCGCGCCCAGGAGAGCGCGACCCGACCCCAGCTGTCCCCCCATCTGGCTCCCGTCTCCACCGCCCCTTCCAGGCCAACTATCGGGGGCAAGTACTGTCTGGGGGAGAGACGACGACACCGGTCCTGCAACACCGAGGTGAGTCCCCAGGGCCCTACGCTGGCCCACCTCCCAGGCGTCTCTGGGCTTTCTCGGGTCTTCAAACTCCTCCTCCCACCCCCCAAAGATAATTACATGGCCCTCACAGCCGCCCAGATACCACCCAACGTGTCCCCTCCATTCATAGCCCAGCTGTCCCCAGAGCAGCCAGCACCTGCCCCTCGTCACCCACCACGGCCTGGCTGCGCTCCCTGCCACCAAACCCAAGGCCATGTTGCGTCTCCTGCTTGGTACCTTCTGGTCTCTCTGGTCTGTCCGTCTGTCCTTCGGAAGTGCGGCCTGGCTGCATTCCTGTGACTTCTCAGGGTTGCTTTATTCCTTGCCTCCCCATCGGGGTTCCCCATGCCTGGGTCCTGGGCATGCACAGGTGTTAAGCGCACACCCAGCGAGCCAGGAGCTGCTGGAGGAAGGGAGCATTAGCAGGTGGGAAGAGCCTGTGGCTGGGCATCCACAGGGCTGGCACTCGTGAAGAACCCTGCCCTGCTCTGGTTCACTGAGACCCTTTCTCAGAAAGATCCCCTGGTCTGCAGTGGGGACCCAGCCACTGTCCCCAGCTCACCCGACGCTCTAATGAGTCACCTGGTCCCGTCTCAGATGCACCTGGATGCCTAGCGCAGGCCACTGCCCAGCCCCACCCCAACATCCCAGGTTCTGCACCCGCCCCTGGCCCTAACTCCCTCCCCCCTCCAGGACTGTCTCCCGGGCTCCCAGGACTTCAGGGAGATGCAGTGCTCCGAATTCAACAGCGTCCCTTTCCGTGGCAAGTTCTACTCGTGGAAGGCATACCGAGGGGGTGAGTGGGGAGCTCCGGGGTCCGTGGCAGGCAGCCGGGGGAGCTTCCAGAAGCAAGTGGGTTTGCCTGGCATCCTGGGGTCCCCTTTTCCCCCGTAAATCGGGTTGCTGGGGCCATGGCTCAGTGGTGCCTTGCCGGGACACTGGGACCCCCTCCCCCGCCCGGCCCCTGTGCGATCGCTCCGGCCTCACTTCCCCAGAGAGCACGCAGGGAGGTCAGGTCGGGCAGCCTGGCCCGGGGTCTGATGGGCCCGGGCCCCCAGGGGGCGTGAAGGCCTGCTCGCTCACCTGCCTGGCTGAGGGCTTCAACTTCTACACCGAGAGGGCGGCAGCCGTGGTGGACGGGACGCCCTGCCGCCCAGACACAGTGGACATCTGCGTCAGCGGCGAGTGCAAGGTACAGGGGGGCACGGAGGAGGACGGGCGTGGGGTGGCCAGGAGGAGAGGGTGTCTCCTCCAGCGCCACCCTCTCGGCGCAGCACGTGGGCTGTGACCGGGTCCTGGGCTCCGACCTGCGGGAGGACAAGTGCCGAGTGTGCGGCGGTGATGGCAGCGCCTGCGAAACCATCGAAGGGGTCTTCAGCCCGGCCCTGGCTGGGCCTGGTGAGAGCCCCCTTCCCTCCCGCATTCCCCACAGAGGCTGAGGGCAGGGCTGGGCCCCCAGGCAGTGGCCAAGATCCATAGCGGACTCCAGGGCCCCCACGGCACCTGAGCTAGGGTTCAGCACCTGAGCTAGGATTCACACTAAGGTTTGGTGTCAGGGAGCCCCAGAGCCCCGAGGGCACAAAAAATGTCCCAGCGCTGGATGGGGGGAGAGGGATTCACAGGGTGGGGCAGGGGAGGGCTCCAGAAGCAGAAGCTTGACGCACTGGGGTGGGGGCCCCTTGGCAGGGGCCCCTCAGGGACCTCCAGGAGCAGGGCACAGAATGGGGTTTCACCCCCCAGGCAGGTCCCCTTGCGGGTTTTAAGGGACCACCTGACCGCTGGTGTCAAGAGTGAGATTGGGGGAGGGGGAGGAGAGTCCCCATGGACATCCTGGTGACCTACAGCCGTAGGTTGTCCCCAAGATGGGGACATGAGCAGAGACACCTAGTGCGCTGAGATGGAAGTGGGGGTCCTTAGGCGTGGGGACAGCTAACAGCAACCCCTGAGGTTCTGTAGAGCCAGCTGACCTCTGTTGGGGGGGTAGGAGGAGGAGGACAACAGGGTGCAAAAGCTGAGAAGCAGGAGAGTGTCGCTCACAGGACGAAACACACAGGGCGCCGTGGGGGTCCAGCCACTTAAGCCAGGACTCGGGGGACACAGATGGGCAAGGGTGGAGGCTCACAGGGGGCTTCTGTGAAGCCGACTGCACCCCAGCTCTGACTGGGTTCCCCTGTGTGGCTGGGGACTCCACAAAGCCACTTTCATGCTCCAGCCCAGCCCTGCTCCTTCGAGGTGACAGAGAGTGGTTACAGAGGCAGGGACGTCTGGGTTGACATACAGCCCCAGGGAGGGTGTGCTCCTGGTGAGTGCTTGCTTAGCATGTATGAGGCTCTGGGTTCCAGTTCCAGCATCACAGAAAAAAAGAAAAGAAAAAGTAGCCCAATGACTTCCTCGCTGTAAACCCAGGCACATGGTGTAGCCTCTTGGAGCCTCAGTTTTGTGGTCTCTAAAGTGGGTATGGTGACACACGGTTACTTGAGGTCACCAGGGTCAGAAGATGAGGGGGCAGGCGGGTGTAGGGGACAGGCTGAGTGGGTGACATTTGAGCTGCACTGCCCAGGCTATGAGGACGTCGTGTGGATCCCCAAAGGCTCCGTCCACATTTTCATCCAGGACCTGAACCTGTCCCTCAGTCACCTAGGTAAGCACAGGGGGGCATGAGGATCATGGTGAGGGCATGGGGCTCAAGTGTCAGCCTCTGACCCCTGTGCTGTCCCCAGCCCTGAAGGGGGACCAGGAGTCCCTGCTGCTGGAGGGACTGCCCGGGACCCCCCAGCCTCACCGCCTGCCGCTGGCGGGGACCACCTTCCACCTGCGACAGGGGCCAGACCAGACCCAGAGTCTAGAAGCCCTGGGACCCATTAATGCGTCTCTCGTCGTCATGGTAACACCAGGGCTGGAGGAAGATGCAAGAAGGCCTTGCACCCTTTGGGGGCAGAGACTGTGAGGCCCAACTCTGGCTGCCCCCCACGCCCCCAGGTGCTGGCCCGGACAGAGCTGCCTGCCCTCCGCTATCGATTCAATGCGCCCATCTCTAGGGACACGCTGCCCCCGTACTCCTGGCACTACACGCCCTGGACCAAGTGCTCGGCTCAGTGTGCCGGGGGTGAGGCCGGGGCGGGGCGGGGCGGGCACCTGGGCTGAGGCCCCGGGGCAGGGCCCGGGCTGAGCCTGCCTCTCGATCCCCAGGCAGCCAGGTGCAGGTGGTGGAGTGCCGCAATCAGCTGGACAGCTCAGCCGTGGCACCCCACCACTGCAGCGCCCACAGCAAACTGCCCAAGAGGCAGCGCGCCTGCAACACGGAGCCTTGCCCGCCGGAGTGAGTGCCTGACGGGTCGTGGGGCTGCCGCGCTGGGGGACGGAGGGCTCCCAGAGAAGGTGTGGGCTGTGTCGGGCCGTCCAGGTGCCAGAGGGACTGTTCTTCGGGGTCCGGGTCACAGGCTCCCCGGGGTGAGGTCAGAGCTGAGTGCTTCCCCATAGTGAGCTGACAGGCGCCTCCCTGGCCCCAGCCTGCGCCCCGCGTATTGAGGCTCTCGGTGCCCAGTGGTCCCTGCAGGGACGGAAGCCTGCTGGGTGCCGCTTTTCAGAGGACTCAGGTTTGGGGAGGGTTGGAGAAGGCCGGTGCCCCAAGCCCCCAGGTTGGGGTGCCCCGGCCTGCTCAGTGGCTCGGCCCGCCCCCCCCCCCGTGCCCACAGCTGGGTCGTAGGAAACTGGTCGCGCTGCAGCCGCAGCTGTGACGCCGGGGTTCGCAGCCGCTCGGTCGTGTGCCAGCGCCGCGTGTCGGCGGCCGAGGAGAAGGCGCTGGACGACAGTGCGTGCCCACAGCCTCGCCCGCCAGTGCTGGAGGCCTGCCATGGGCCCACCTGCCCGCCCGAGTGGGCCGCCCTGGACTGGTCTGAGGTCAGCCGCCCCCTCCTTCCGGCCGGCACCCACTGAGCAGCGAGGGGCAGGAAGTTTCCCCGGGGCCTGCACCCCGCCACCCACCAAGCTGAGCCGCCTCTCGCCATGCAGTGCACCCCCAGCTGCGGGCCAGGCCTCCGCCACCGCGTGGTCCTGTGCCAGAGTGCCGATCACCGGGCCACCCTGCCCGCCGCGCACTGCCCGCCTGCCGCCAAGCCTCCGGCCACCATGCGCTGCAACCTGCGCCGCTGCCCTCCCGCCCGCTGGGTGGCCAGTGAGTGGGGCGAGGTAGGTGGGCACCCCTGGGGGGACCCGGGCGAGGCCGGGTGACGGAGCCGCGGAGCCGCAGCTCAGCCCAGCATCCCCGCAGTGCTCCGTGCAGTGCGGCCTGGGCCAGCAGCAGCGCTCCGTGCACTGCACCAGCCACACCGGGCAGCCGTCGCGCGAGTGCACCGAGACCCTGCGGCCGCCCGCCATGCAGCAGTGCGAGGCCAAGTGTGACAGCGCGCCGCCCGGGGATGGCCCCGAAGGTACGAGGGCCACAGGCCCGGATCAGCCGACGGGCCCCGCTCACGTTCTGGGACGTGGTTCTGCCCAGTGCCAGATCCCTCCTTCCAGTTCTGCCCATGAGAAATGGCTCCGGACGTAGCTGGATGTGGAGAAGGGCACAGATTAGCCTCCCCAGGGAACAGTGCTTTATTAGTTGTGCTACTGGGATTGAACTCAGGGCCTTCACACTGAGCTACAACCTCAGCCCTTTTAAATATTTTCATTTAGAGATAGGGTCTAAGGCACTAAGTTGCCTGGAACTTGCAATTTTCCTACCTTAGCCTCCCAGAGCGCTGGTATTTACAGACGTGCACCACTTCCCCAGGCTGGCATTCGGTTTATTGCAAAGAGAAACTTGAGTTTCATTGCCCCAGAGGAATATTTGTCCTGGGTAATGTCAGAGGATCGCTGAATAGGAGATGCTTTTCCTGTTACTTATGTGTATCAGCCCCAGACCCTGAGCTGCGGTCTTTGGAACCTAAGGGCATAGGTACTATTAGAAGACCCCTTTGAGAGTTGAGGAAATCGAAGCACAGAAATAGGAAGCATCGGGAAGGCAGCAGATGCACCCTTGCTAGGAGGGGCGCTGAGACCTGATTTCCCCTTTTTCTTCCTGTCTCCCCACCCCACCCCCACCCCTCACCCCCAGAATGCAAGGATGTGAACAAGGTCGCCTACTGCCCCCTGGTGCTCAAATTTCAGTTCTGCAGCCGATCCTACTTCCGCCAGATGTGCTGCAAAACCTGCCAGGGCCGCTAGGGGACCTGCGGTACCTGGAGCCATTGCTGAGCTCAGGCTGAGAAGGACCTGGCCCAAAGGGCCTGAGGGGGCGGGAGCTGGGAGTGAAGACTGAGACGCAGGCGCGAGTTATTTATTGGGAACCCCTGCAGGGCGCTTGGCTGGGGGATGGAGAGGGGCTTGCATCCCCAGGGACCCTCTGCAGCCTCTTGCCCGGTGCTTAGTGAGACCCCCTCCAGGGTGGGCCTGGGGACAGCTATGGGCCTCGGGCTCTTTGCACCCACCCTTGGGAGTCCCCAACAACCCCCCACCCTCTGATTGGAATCTACTGTGAAGAGTGGGGGTGGGGCGGGACTGCCGGCGCCCGGCCCCCAGCACTGGCCCGCTGCCCGCTCTGTGGTGGGGCGGGGCCTGTGTGTGCTATGGAGGAGGCACCTCCCTGACACCCCAACCTCTGCCCGGCCTGCCCCAGGGGAGCCCCCAACATCCAGGCCACCCCCGTCATGGTGCTATAAGCCCTGCCCTGGGGCCCACACACTCCCTGCGAGGAAGCCCTACATCAATAAAGCTCTGTCTCGTGTAGATGTCCCCGTTCACATGGTGTGTGTGTCTGCGTGCCCAGGACCCGCGGGGTGCACAGCCCCTCACGGGTCACCCCAGAACCCTTCGGGGGAGGCACAGCTTCTCAGAGTTCACAAAACCATCCTCTGATCCCCTTTCTCAACAAAGTGGGGTGCCCCTGCCTGTTGGTTCACGTTGCTGAGGGTTTTTTAATTTTTAAAATTGTATTCATGTATGCTTGTACTGTGCAGTGATTGCACTCGTATGGGGAGTGGGTAGATGTGCATAGCACATCTTCATTCTTTTTACTTCCCTTTCCCCTCCTCTCCGTTTCCTGGTCCCCTTCCCATTTGTAAAAGGTCTATCTCCATCTCCTCTCATCTTTTATTTTCTCTTTATTTATACTTTGGGGTTCTCAAGTAAGAGAAACCATGCGATATTCAAGCCTGTGTGTCTGGTTTATTTCACCCAACATTATGTCCTCAAGGTACATCCGTTTTCCTATGGATGACTCAAATGTATCCTTCTTTATGGCAGAGTAGTACTCCACTATGTGTAAATGCCACATTTTCTTTGTTCATTCATCTATTGGTGGACGTATGGGCCTCTTCCAAGATTTAGCTCCTAAGAACTGTGCTGCTGTAAGTATGGGTGGGCATGGGTCACTGTAATATGGTGTCCTTAACTCTTTTGGGAAGATACCTAGAAGGGGAATAGCTGGGTAGAGTGGAATTTCTAGCTCCAGCTTTTTGGGGGGAATCTCCACACTGGTTTTCATAGTGATTATACTAATTTACATTCCCCCAACCCACACTGCTGACTTTTGCACAATTGAGCAAAGTTGCTCAAGAAATTCAAGGAGATGGGCGCCTTCCCAGCAGTGGTCACTAGGGGGCGCTACATCTTTACAAACCCCTCGGAGGACGCTCCTGCGCAGGACGTCCCAGGCCTTGGGCCTGGACCAGATGGGATCCTGATCTCAGATCCCTGCCTGGCCTTCACAGGGTCCAGTGCTGCCACAGCCCCCTTCTCCATGGATGCCGTGGGGAGGTGACGACCTGCTAGAATGGCCATTTCCTCAAATGTCATCGGGAGATACTGTGTGGTCCGCTAATTCTCCAAAGATCAAAGCATGGGCAGGCCGGGCATGGTGGCGCATGCCTGTCCTCCCAGCACTGGGGAGGCTGAGGCAGGAGGATCGCCATGAGTTCGAGGCCAGCCTGGGCCATATGGTTCGAGGCCAGCCTGAACTACATAGCAGGGACCCTGTCTCAAATTCCCCATGCCCCAAAATGGGCTGACACCTAACGCATCTGCACCGGGAGAGCCAGGATCCCTGCTCTGCTGTCAGAAGATGGGGAAACCAAGTCATCAGGGAAGTGGCTAAACTGGAGGTGTTGATCCAGCGCTGGCATCCACAGGACCAGCAGGGGCCGCTGTGGAGGAGAACCTTCCCGGGCAGCTCAGAGCCGGCGCTTCCCGGCCTTGTCTTGGAGCTCAGGAGAGTCCGCATCCCAAGGAGCCCTGCCTAGCTGCCCCGGTTCCTGTCCCCAAGATGGGGGCGGGGGGGACTTCTGGGGTCAGCCAGCGATCTTTGGCCTCTCCTTTGCGGCCCAGCAGGCCCCCAACTCTGCACCACCGTTGCTGGGGCTCAGCTGTCTGCCCGCCCTCCCTCAAGGCCCAGCTTCCCTCCCCTGAGGCGCGGCCACTCCCGTCAAAGGAAGTGAGAGGGGCTGTTGTAAGAGGAACTTGGGCCTACAGCCAGTTGAGGAGCCAGAGCAGGGTCATGCCTCAGCCGCCCCCAGGAGCCCTGTGAAGATTCCTCAGGGCCCCAGACAGTCGCCAGCCCCACCATGGTAAGTCCTTCCAGGTGGACTCTGGTAGCACAGAGAGAGGGGCACTGGGCAGGTGCCCCAGACCACCATTGGGAGGGGTGATGGGAAGGGCAGTGGGGCCCCCTGGGGTGCCCTCCATGCCGCTGGGCAGTCCCTGCATCCCTGACCAGGCTTGCGCCTGAGGGTGCCAGGAGGGTGACCATGGGGACCAGGATCAGAGCCGGATGAGGCAGGCAGACAGTGGCCCTGAGAGATCGCCCAGAATCCACAGGGCCAGGATCATGGCCCTGGGACCCCGTGGGGCTCAGGGACCCTGTGGCCCGCTCAGCCAGGACCCTCACCTCCCAAGTGGCCTCAGCCAAATTGCTGCCCCTCTGCTGGCCTCAACCTGCAGAGATGTCACATTCGGAAGAGAGTCTGGCCTGGAAGCTGTCCTGGGGGGTTCTGCCTGGGATGCTCTGGATCTGGGGTTCGGTCATTCTGAGCCCGAGTGGAAAGGGCTGCCTCTCGTGGGCAGGGGCGGTGACAGAGTGGCCATGTGGGTGACAGGTGCTCGTGCCCCTGCTGGGAGCTGTGGCCCGTAGCCACAGCTGAGGTGTCGCTGCGTGTGGAGTTTGAGGTCTTGTTGGGGACCGGGACAGGACACGGTCCCTGTCACAGGCCCAGACCCGGTCACTTCACGCTGATAGGCATGGCAAGAGGGAGCCCCACAGCTAGCAAAGTCGCCCCCACAGCCCCCTGCTTCGCAGGACACTTCAGCTTTCATTTTTCATCATCTGTCAAGGTGGACGGTGGCATGTGCTTGGGACAGGGATGGTTGCAGGTCCTCAGTGGTTTCAGCAAACATCTGAGCAGGGTGGGGGCAGGGAGGTGGGGCAGAGGTGGAAGTTGTGCTCTGGGCTTGAGGGGGGTCCTCACCCAGACCACACCAGGAGGTGCAGGAGCTCAGCCAGCCAGGTGTGGATCAGAGGACTCGGGAAGCAAGTTCTTCCTGGAGAAGAGAGAAACCCAGAGACGCACGGGAAATGCTTAGTCAGCAGCCTGCCTGCCATCAGAGCGAGCACATGGAGGAGGTGGGGAGAGGGGAAGACAAAAGAAGGAAGGGAGAAAGGAAAAAGAATGAAGGGGAAGACAGGGAGGGAAAGAAAGGAGAAAAGGAAGAAAGGGAGAGGGAAAGAAAGGAGAGACGGAATGAATGGGAAGAAATAAAAAGGAAAAAATGAATGAATGAAGGGAAAGGAAGGAAACAACGAGAAAGAGGAAAGAAAGAGGAAGGGGTTAAGACAGGAGAGGAAAGAGAAGGAAGAAAGAAAGAGAAAGAAAGAAGGAAGGAAGGAAGGAAGAAAGAGAAAGAAAGAAAGAAAAGAGAAAAAGAAAGTGAAGGGGAGAGAAAGAGGAAGGAAGGAAGAAGGAAGGAAGGAAGGAAGAAAGAGAAAGAAAGAAAGAAAAGAGAAAAAGAAAGTGAAGGGGAGAGAAAGAGGAAGGAAGGAAGAAGGAAGGAAGGAAGGAAAAGAGATGGGAAAGGCGCGGGAGAGAAGCGTCCGAGATCAGCCCCCAACATGGTGCTGGAACCCGGGGACCGCTGGACGGCAGGGGGCTGCTGCAGGTCCCCAAGGACTTCAAGTCCTGCCGTCCCTGGAGGAGCTCAGCACCCGCACTTGACTCAGGGCAGCTGCCTCGGCAGGAGGCTCATTCGCTGCAGGGTTTATCAGCGGTGTGGGCGGAAGTAAGCCATCCCCTTCCGGTGCGTGATTCTTCATTCGTGCGTTAGTTACGCAGACTACCTGGCTCCATCCCAGCCGATCCGGACGCACACACAGATCATGCCCGGCTGTTGGGGAAGGGTCGCCGTGGGCACATCATCGGGTGTTGCTGTTGCTGTCGCGGGTGCTCGTCGGTTTTTGCAGGTTGATGCTGCCTGTGGTCCTCGTGGCTGGCCTGCTGGCGATGTGGTGCTGATTGATGCTGGTCACTGGTGGTCAATGTTTCCAGGCGGAAATCGTGCAGATGGCTGGGGTGGGTGGAGCGACGGTGGGCTTCCCAAGTGGGTGGCGTCCACAGTTTGCTCCGCTGCTGGTAGCTCATTGCTGGCTTCCAGTGACGGCAGCCCTCATGGGGGAGGCAAGTCTCTGTTGGATCTTGGACGGGAATGGGCCATGGTGCCGCTTCCTGGCAATGAGTAGCCCACTGCGTGGCTGCTGATGGCTAGTGCTGTTAACAGTGTGGTTCTTGTTTAATGCTTACTGTTATTATTGAGGGTGGTCAGTTGTCCGGGGTTGCTGGGAGCCGGGAGCGGGGTGCACGTCTGGAACCCCAGCACTTGGGAGGCTGAGGCAGGAAGATCGCCTGGGCTACATAGTGAATTAAGGGCCAGCCTGAACTACAGAGGGAGACCCTGCCTCAAAAAAAATGCAAACCCAGCCTCTACAACTTGGCAACTTAGCCAGACCCTGGCTCAAAATTATCTTTCATTTTTAAAAAAATTTTAGTACATGTTTGTAATACATGAAGTTTACGTTCATCTTGGGGAGTGGGGACACGTACTTAACATATTTTGATTCTTTTTTATTCCCCTCCACTCTCCACCCACTTCCCTCCCTCTGTCTCTAGGTCCCTTCTCCCCATTTTCATCATCATCGTAATTATTATTTTTATTTAGTTCATGTTTACAACATACTGTGTTTACACTCACAGTGGGTTTAGTTTCCGTGCATGTACAGGACTCATCTGAAATCCTTTTACTTCCCCTCCCTTTTCCCCTCCCCTCGCCTTTGGCCTCCTGGACCCCTTCCCGTTTGCAAAAGATCTAGCTCCTTACTTCCTTCTATCCCTCCTTTACAAAATAAAATAAAAAATGTTAAGGTTCTGGGTTCAATTCCTAGTATGTCAAAAAAAATTGGTGCTGGTGCTGGTGGTGGTAGGGAGGACAGGTAATGCAATTGGATGTTTCTGTTTGATGCTGGCATCAGGGTTCTTAGCAGTTTCTTCTTCACTTTTCAGGAGGTGAGGGGTGGAGGCAGCAATTGCTTGCAGTGCAGACAGGAGAGCAGCAGTAGTTTTTAAGATATTAACACAAAGCAGAGAGAGCACTGGTGTGGCCACCTGGTCCAGGGCCGGTGGCCACGGGATGGAGAGAAAAAGTGGAAAGCTGAGAAGAATCTGGGAGGAAGAATCACAGGCATGGCAGGGCACACCTGTCACCCAGCACTCTGGGAGGCTGAGGCAGGAGGGTCAAAAGTTGGAGTCCAGGGCAGCCTAGTGACTTAGCGAGACCCTGTCTCAGAGTAAAGGGTGGGAGGTGGCTCAGCACAAAGGCCCAGAGTTCAATCCCGAGTGCCACAGAAAGAATTATTAGACCAGAACTGATGCACAGAAGGCAGCTACACTGGATCAGAGACACGTAGGTGTCTGCCTAGGAGCGGGGCCCCACCCAGAGGCTCGTCGTCCCAGCGATAGAGGGGTAAAGCAGGGTCCCCCGCGCCAGCTGACCCGGAGGGGCACAGCTGGGCTCCCCGTCTGCACAGCCAACACCGGGCCTGCTCCAGAGGCCGAGGACCCTGCTGCTGACGGGAAACTGAGGCCTACGAGGAAGGGGAGACCCCAGCCCTGGAAGGCGTTGTGGGGTGCAGGGTGTGGCCCGAGCCCCCTAGCTGGGCGGGGCGAGCCGCAGCTCAGACTCCTCCTGCGAGCACAGCTCCGGTTGCAGCAGGAAGGTCCGGAAGGAAGTGGCTGTGTGCTCTCCCCTCAGGGCTGGGCTGTCGCTCATCGCTCCTCGCTGCTCCCGGGCGGGCGGCCTGGGACATGTGGGTGAATTGCACAAGGCCCCTCGTTCATCCAGGAAGGCCAGCGTTGGTGCATGTGTCCTAACCCAGCCCCCACTGAGTCTGCATGGCAGCCCTCAAAGAGTTCCCAAGTTCAAAATGAGGAAACTGAGGCAGGAAAGTTAGGCAAACTGCCATGAAAGCCAAAAGGGGAACAGGATTTTAAGTCTCACTCCCCAGGCCATGCTAGTAACAGCCACCTTAGCTGGCCACGGGAAACTGAGGCAGGAGGATTCCAAGTTCAAACCCAGCCAGGGCAACTTAGTGAGACCGTCTCAAAATAAAAAGTTAAAAAAGAGCTGGGTGTAATGGTGCATGACGGTAATCCCAGCAGTCGGGAGGCTGAGGCAGGAGGATTGCCAGGAGTTCAAGGCCAGCCTGGGCTACATAGTGAGACCCCTGTCCTAAGCAAAACAAAAAAAATTTTAAAGGGCCAGGGATGTAGCTCAAGCCCTGTGTTCAGTCCCTAGTAACACACACACACACACACACACACACACACACACACACACACCCGAGCAGCCAACTTGACCCCAACCTCCTCCTCCTCCTCCTTCAAGGTGACAGACCACAGTGGAGGTGTGTGCTGACCCCACAAGCCCTGGGCCCATTAAGTGACCCTACTCATTCCCCAGCTTCATTTGGACATGGACTCTCTACTTCAAAGAGACTAGAGTCCCACTCGGGGACGCTGAAGCAGGAAGATCACAAGTTCCAGCCCAGCCTGGGCAACTTAGCAACTTTGGTGAGATCTGTCTCAAAATTTTTTAAGAAAAGGACTAGAGAATGTAGCTCATGTGAAGACTTTAGAGTCAGTCCTAAGTAACCAGAAGAAAGGAAAGAAGGGAAGGGGAGGGGAGGGAGAGAGAGACAGAGAGAGAGAAGAAAGAAAGAAAAGAAAGAAAGGAAGGAAGGAAGGGAAAGGAAGAGAGAAAGAAAGAAAGAAAGAAAGAAAGAAAGAAAGAAAGAAAGAAAGAAAGAAAGAAAGAGAAAGAAAGAAGGGAAGGAAGGAAGGGAGAGAGAAAGAAAGAGAAAGAAGAAAAGAAGGCTGGGGATTTAGCTCAGTGGTTCGGCTGCCTGCCTCGAAAGCACAAGGTCCTGAGTTTGATCGATTCCCAGTACCAAAAAAAGAAAAAAGAAAAGAACAGGAAAAACTCCTGGCGTGTCCCACAGCCCAGTCTTCGGCCCACTGCCCGAGAG